GTTATTTCTTTCTGTCGTTGAGAGCCTTTCTGGTAAGGTGTCACACTGGCAAAGGCATCACAAATATTTGTTTGTTTTGGTTGACATCCAGATTTGGCTTTGTATTCGTCGTAAAGAGCTTTGTGGTGCCGTTTTAAGTGATCAGACAAATTGGTGGTGTTTCCATGTTTTGTGGCCACAACTTTATGACACTCCATGCAAAGTACCTCTTTTTGGTCAACATCCTCCTTTTTGTAGCCGAAATAGTCCCAAATAGATGATTTCGACTTTCTTTTTGGTACGAAATCATTTTTTTGCGGCGGATCCTCTTCGTCGCGCATTTTTAGCAGTGAATGTTGGCTGTGAGTGGTGAGCAGCGGCACAGCGAACCAATCACTGTACAGGCACACGGAACGTGCATGTCACCCCAGCAACAAGCCATACAACAAACTCGTGTTTACTGTGTGCTACCGTTCCCTTAATACACCATGGGCTTCTACCCTTCACATCGTATGTTCCGGCGATGTGACTATCGCTCACGCGCACATCGCGATGTCGATGTCAAAACAGAATATCGTTCAGCCCTAATCTGAATTTATGTAGTTTGAAGGGGGGGGACCTCAATGTTCCTATCTATAAAAGGGGGGCCCTGCAGAGAAAGTTTGGGAACCACTGCATTAGGCTAAAATGTCATCCTGTACTGGGAATTACCCCAGCCTGGGATAGGCTTTGAGCCATGGATGGATAGATGGACGGATGCATGTATTGATTGATTGATTAATCTTAATACAGTCAGGATTGAGCTGGATTTTAACCCTCTGCGGTCTTGGGGTAGGGAACACACTTTCACTGACTGTGGCATGGTCACACATTTCATTCAATATCATAAACTTAACTCATGGCAAATAAATTATTTCTTATATATTTGTTTTGGCATTACACTCATCTTAATTTTAATGTACATTGTAAATATGTCAGATTTATGTTAAGTTTGTAATCTGACGTCAAAGTATAGACATTGCAAAATATAGTTTGGATCACTTGCAGAAACATTATGGGAGTACATAGTAAGTAATGGTGCCAGTTTGTTTTGATGCCAGATATCTTATACATGAAGATGACTAAATGGTGTAGTTGCAACATTCAGTTGGATAAATAAACAAGAAAAACCTAACTCATGTCACTATTTCTGGTCTCCTTCCATTGAATATGTAGGAGCTCTCATGTGTATGCATGAGCCATTCACACCTGGCCAAACCCCCCCCCCCTTTTATGGTGCTGATGGGGATGTATTTCACCACCGATGCATTTCACCAATGAGTTGTTCATCAAATTACCATGTGAATGTGATTTGAATATGTGGTAATGCGGCTATTTAGAATGCGAATAGCAACCTTCAAGGTGAGGGCGGTACTACACGCCCCTGATGCAGGTTAAAAAAAGAAAGGTGACTTGGTTACATTTTTTGCTGATTTAACCTAATTTGAAAAACTTTAATACTTCCGACAATGGACGTTTTGAAAAGAAGACAGATTACGGATTTAGGTAGCATTTTTTCATGATTCTACATAAAGATTTATGCGAGATATAAACTGAAATTGTGAAAAATATGCTGCATTGCAGACGATGCGCTCGTCCCCAGAGGGTTAAGCCCAGATCAAAGTCCTACCTGGTTAAATGCCCCCTGTTACGAGCCCCAGTCTAGGGTTGGGGCGTAACAGAATGAGAGGGAAATGGGAAGTGGAGTAAGGAAAAAACAGGGTGTGATGGACAAGAGAACACAAGTGCACAAAGGGGTATTTTTCTTGTATTTTTCTGTTTTTTTTTTTTTTTTAATTGACACGCCACAGACACTGAAGAAATAACCCCAGTGCAAAAGGACTCAGGATTGACTAAGGCTAAAACAATAAACAAAACCCAGCTTCTGAACGCAACCCACAGCTAAACTTACCTAAGTGCAAAGAAAACAAAACCAAATGACAAATTCTACACCTAACTCCCTATCCAAATAATAGCATACAACACGCATCGACAAAACAAAAACGGCATTCACTCCCTACGCACCTGAAACACACACACAGAACATACACACAGATAAAAGTGTCAAAGTCCGAGAGGCGCACAAAGATGTAAACCATAAACCGAGCAAGAGTTCGAAATCAAATAGCAAAATCAGCTAAAGCGAAGGTACAGAAAACGGCAAAGCAAAAATTAGAAAACCAATAAACCAACCAAATCATACACTGTAATATCCATCCGAGAAAAGCAAACCAAAAACAATAATGAATGAGCGGAGCTCTCGATGTTTGTTGCTGGTGGCTTTTCAACTCTTGGTGACGGAAGTGACAAGTGATGCATACGATGAGTCTTGGGCGGGGTCTGGACGTAGAGGTGGAGGAAGCGGCGAATGAAGGGCGAGTTCAGGAGACAAGGGCTGTGGGCAGAGCTGAACCTAAACATAAACTAACAGTGGCACGTAACACCCCCAGGAGTTTCAACAGCGATCAGCGGAGTGGGAGCAGCAGCGGGTTCAGTACCAGAAGCAGTTGGCAACTCTGGAGGCTCAGAGGAAGGTTCTGGCAGAGCAGTTAAAACATATGCAAGCAGTGGTAAGGAAAATCATACTTAACTCATTTTGTCCAAGAGCAGAAGGCTTCCATGTCAGCAGATGTAAAGAAAGTTGATTGTGCTCTATTGTATTGGCAGTTAATCACTTGTAAATTTACATGTAGTTATGCCTCCCAAGATATTTATGGATGTTATTTTGTCTTCATGTTAATTTATGTGATATTAAGTTCCATCCATCCATCCTCAACCGCTTGTCCGGGTTGGGTCGCGGGGCCAGCAATCTAAGCAGGGAAACCTAGACCTCCCTCTCCCTGGCCACTTCGTCCAGCTCCTCCAGGGGAATCCCGAGGCGTTTCCAGGGACATAGTCTCTCCAGCATGTCCTGGATCTTCCCCAGGGCCTCCTCCCAGTGGGACATGCCCGGAACACCTCACCAGGAGGCATCATGAGCAGATGCCCGAGCCACCTCATCTGGCTCCTCTCGATGCAGAGGAACAGCGACTCTACTCTGAGTCTCTCCCAAATGACCGAGCCTCTCACTCTATCTCTAAGGGAGTGCCCAGCCACCCTGCGGAGGAAACTCATTTCGGCTGCTTGTATTTGCGATCTCGTTCTTTCGATCACTATCCACAGCTCATGACCATAGGTGAGGGTAGGAATGTAGATCGACTGGTAAATTGAGAGCTTTGCCTTTTGGCTCAGCTCCTTGCCGGAGGTGAGAGTTGAAGCTCCTCCTGACAGGGGATTCCGCCAGATGTTCCCAGCAGACCCTCACTATATGCTTGGACCTGCCAGGCCTGACCGGCTTCCTCCCCCACCAGCGGCGCTAACCCACCACCAGGTTGTGATCAGTTGACAGCTCCGCCCCTCTCTTCACCCAAGTGTCCAATACATACGACCGCAAGTCCAATGACATGACCACAAAGGCAATCATCGGACTGCGGCCTAGGGCATCCCGGTGCCAAGTGCACATATGGACCCCCTTATGCTTGAACATGGTATTCATTATGGACAATCCGTGACAAGCACAGAAGTCCAACAACAAAGCACCGCTCGGGTTCAGATCGGGGGGGCCGTTCCTCCCAATCACGCCACTCCAGGTCTCACTGTCATTGCCCACATGAGCATTGAAGTCCCCCAGCAGAACAAGAGAATCCCCAGTGGGGAGTGTTCTCCAACACCCCTTCCAAGGACTCCCAAAAGGGTAGATATTCTGAACTGCTGTTTGGCACATAAGCCAACAGTCAGGACCCGTCCCCCCACCCGAAGGCAAAGTGAGGCTACCCTCTCGTCCACTGCAGTAAACCTCAATGTACAGGCGCCCAGCCAGGGGGCAATAAGTATGCCCACCCCTGTTCGGCGCCCCTCCCCGCGAGCAACTCCAGAGTGGAAGGAGGGTCCAACCCCCCTGAAGGAGACTGGTTCCAGAGCCCAAGCCATGCGTTGAGGTGAGCCCGACTATATCTAGTCGGAACCTCACAACCTCGCGCACCAGTTCAGGCTCTTTCCCCACCAGAGAGATGACATTCCATGTCCCTAGAACTAGCTTCTGCAGTTGAGGATCGGTCCGCCAAGGCCCTCGCCTTCGGCCACTGCCCAACTTACACAGCACCCGACCCCTTTGTCCCCTCCTACAGGTGGTGAGCCCATTGGAGGGGGTGATATTAAGTTAATTCTCTTCTAAATATGATAATTATCTTCCAACACTAATATGTGACCTTATACTAATGCAAGCAGTGTGTGTCTTTGGCCTACAGTAGATGTACAGTGTGTGTATATAGTCTGTCAAAGCTATGCAGTATATTAGTGTTGACCTGACCCCTTATGTGGCTTTCGTGATGGAGGCAGCAGTTGCAGATGCCTCAACAGCAGCAGGAGCCAACAAATCCCTGGTGCCATGCAGAAGTGCAGAAGCTGCGGGGTCAGCTGGAGAGGGCTCAGGATGCACTGCGGGTCCAGGAGCTAGAGCTGGAGCAACTCAGCCTGCTCCAGGGGGAACTGGGAGATGCTCAGAGGGAGCGGCAGGTAAGCACCACAGCTAAAATCTACCTCTCCATCTAAATCTGTCCTTCCATCCATTCAGCCAGGTCACACCATCTGGGGACGAGAGCCTGTTCACTGCTGAGAGGCATGAAAAGTGGCACATTTGTGTAGAAAATCTATTAGCTTGTCCTTAACTCTCTGGGGTCGAGTATGTCGTCGGCGACATCGCGTACTTTTCGCGTCTATTTCAGTTTATATCTCGCTGAAATCTTAATGTAGAATCATGAAAAAAAACGCTGGCTAAATCCGTAATCTGTCCGTAATCAAAACGTCTATTGTCGGAAGTATTAAAGTTTTTTTAATTAGGTTAAATCGGCAGAAAAGTAAACCATGTCATCTTACTTTGTTTTACCTGCATCGGGGGCGTGTAGTGCCGCTCTCACCTGAAGATCGCTATTCACATTCTAAATAGCCGCATTAGCGCGTATTCAAATCGCATTCGCATGGTAATTTGATTAACAGCGCAACGGTGAAACGCGATCCAGATACATCCCCTTCAGCGACATAAAAGGGGGTTGGGGATGTGGCCAGGTGACAATGGCTCATTCATACACATGAAAGTTGCTACATATTCAATGAAAGGAGCCAGAAATAGTGACATGAGTTAGGTTTGTCTTATTTATTTATCCAACTGAATGTTGCAACTACACCATTTAGTCATCTTCATGTAGCCAAGACTTTGGTGATCAGATATCTGGGATCAAAACAAACTGCCAGCATTGCTTACTATGTACTTTTATAATGTTTCTGCAAGTGTTTCAAACTGCATTTTGCAATGTCTATACTTTGATGTCAAATTTCAAACTTAACAAAAATCTGACATATTTACAATATATATTAAAATAAAGATGAGTGTAATGGCAAAACAAATATATAAGAAATAATTTATTTGCCATAAATTAAGTTTATGATATTTGAAGAAATGTGTGATCATGCCCCAGTCAGTGAAAGTGTGTTTCCTACCCCTAGACCCCAAAGGGTTAAGGCCTGTAAAAGCTGTGATGCATGGTTGTCAGTAAATATTGAGACTTAACTGCTAACTGGACTATTTAAGAGAACGTAGTTTGGAATCTGAGTCAGTGGGTACATTAGGGTAAACGGCACATCTGAACCCTGCAGGGCAAAGTTATAATTTTGTTTTAAACAGTACTTTAGAAAACATTAATAACAGCAATCAAAGGTAAATATAACTGATTTGAGTAAGATAATTAATTCTGCTGAGTGCATATACAGTGTTTTATTCTGCCATTTCTGCCGACTTGGGGCCCGGGGACTTGAGTCCTAAAAAGAACATGACAAGTTTAGGATGATGAGTAGATGGCTTTGTCTCCTCCCCACAGGTACTGACTGAGGAGAAGGGGGAGCTACAAGCTACAGTGGATGCGCAGGACAAGTTCATACTCAGTACTGATGTGAATCAGCTGCGCAGCAAGTTGACCTGGCTGACTCAAACCCTACAGGCCAAAGAGCACGTCATTCAGTAGGGGCCTGTGCTGCGTATCTACATTTGGTAGATGCTATTAGAGTAGTAGTCATACTTTATTGGGAAAGTATTGAGTTGCTTAGTGGATAACACTGTCTCATCACACAACCAGAGTTGGTTTCCTTTGATTTCCTCCCACAGCTTATGCATTTAGTGAACCAGTGTTTTTAAATTGCCCATGGTATGTGTTAGTGTGTGTGTGCGCCCCCCATGACCCAGTACTCCATAAGTGATTGAAATATGGATAGATAGGTTGTAAGTGAACAAACTCTTCTGAAATATGTGTAGCTCTAATAATTTTGTGTATCAAGGTCTTTGGAGGACTGTTTTGTGGACCAGGGTCTGTCTACCGGTCTGGCTCCACTCAGACAGGATCTTGAGAAGACTCTGATACAGCTCCAAAGTTCTCGTGCCTCGGAGGAGCAGCTAAAGGCAGAGGTGGCCCGACTTCAGGACATGTATGTTCAGACAACAGGTAGTCTAGTAATTAAATAATGGTACGACTTAAACTTTTTTACTTAAACTTTGTTTAGTTACAGTGTATCCAGGTAAAAACTGGTAAATCAGTGAGACAAAAGTATGGGCCGTTTCACACCGAATGCAAAATAAACTATATGAATTTGTGAAATTTTCTGTTGCAAATTTGATGGATCAAAAACATTCACACCAAACATGATGCAAAATTTTCAGGATCTCCTTGGGATCCCAGCTGGTGATCCCCCAGGCAGATACCCAGATACACTAAGTACAAGAATAGCGAAAATAGGGCTTATTCTTTATTTTTTGCTGAAAATATTAATAAATAGCCACAGTTTGATATAATCCATAAGGAATATAATAAAGTCTGAAAAAAATAAAGTGAATTCAACACAAGTAACCAGAAGAGCAGCAAACAGTTTAACATGCCTCCTGTCAAATACGACAGGTTAGTGGGGATGTGCTGCAAATGTTTTCATTTTGAGAATCAATTCTAATGCTAAAATAGTAGCGGGCAAAAATTTATTGTAGCTGGTTGCAGTTGTATCCACAATATGTGTTTCAGAGTTACAGCAAGAATTGCGACAAAGCACTACATTTACATTTACTTCTATTTAGCATAAACTTTTAGCAAAGGCGACATACAAGTGAGGTATACATGCTGTTAAGCAAAAGTCAGCAGCATATAGTTTGGATTTGTGAAATCTAACCAATCTTCTGTAATTTGCGAACTTTGCAAAGATACAGGTTTGAACAGATAGCAATACAACCAATTTCATTTATCTATTATTTCTTTGCAATTGGTGTGTACACAGTTACAGACCAAAGTGTTCAGTGTTTATTTGTACTGAAAGCTTTTGAAACTGTAGTATTTAAAGGTGCCTTAGAATGAAAATCTGATTTTACCTCAGCATAGTTGAATAAGGAGAGCTTGATGTTCGCTGTTTGAAATATTATTATTATTGTTATAATTATTGTTATTATTATTATAGTGCCCCATATGAATCCCACATATGTAAAAGAAGATATTAAAATAGGCTGACTCAAATACCCTAGACTGTTAGATAAGTCTTTACTATGCCCCAAACGTAATACACCAGCAGACTTGCAGACTACGAGGAGTAGAAGTTGTCTGACTTGGCTGCAGTCAGTTTATACTCCACCCCTGCAGCCGCCAGAAGATCGCGTTCCACGTCGCGTCAGCTGCAGATAGACCTAAGCCCAAGTCGAATGCACCCATTGCTTCTTTAAGGGAGGATGGGCAAAATTACAACGTTGTCGGTGATTGGCTGTTGTGCTGGTGTTCAGTAAACCTCTGCTCGATAGGCCATCGAGTTGTCTGTTTCAGCGCATTCTCTAAAACGGAGCAAACTTGGTTGATCGAGTTTTATAGTCTGTGTGTATCATCGTGATCGTCCTTGTTTTTTATCGATAAAAAATCGAGATCGTTTTATCGCCCAGCACTAAAGTGATCTATCACCGATCACGATCATGGATCGTGATTTTAACCAATATATATATATAATTTTAACCTTGTAATTTAAATGTTTATATTGTTATGAGTAGGATTGTGATCCACTATTGGACAGGACTGCTCATAAGTGGGGAGAAAGAGGAAGTTGCCCCAACACTAAAGGAAAATAAAATGGTTCTGAGATTTTAATTTATCATTAGGGTTGGGCTGGCATTGAATATTGGTATTGGTGATACCAGGCTTAAGTCAAATCAAAATCAGTTTGGAAAAAAAAATCAATAGTTTTCTTCCTTTTCAACTAAACTGATCATGTGTATAAACTGACATCATAATGTTTGTTCATTTTTTTAATGTATCTAAAAACTACAGAAATCAAGCTCTCTCCAAATAAAAAATGACGGATCACAACAATGCAAATTTGTCAGACTTGTGCAAAAAAAATCAGACTTGATGTGAAATGGCCTTAACTATGAATTGTTATTCTGATGGATTTTTTTTAAATCCAAACCAAAATGTAAAATGCATGAGGTCACATTTAATAAATTTGTTAATAAAGTTGTTGTTAATACAATTATGTTCCCAACGTGCTAAAGATTTTTCATGAGCTGAACAGTAATCCTCTCTTCAGCCTTGAGAATATACAGGGACAGAGCAAAGCTTCGTCTGGAAAACATCTACAACCAAACCTTTTGGAAGAAGAATGCAGTCGCTCTTTGGGGGAAGTGAAAAAGGTTAGGAGTTGACTGGATACCTTATAAGTACACAATCCAATTAAATGTAGCCATCAACAAAAATAATGCTGTGATTCTGACAGCTGTGGTGATGTAATTTCAGAGATATTGGCTGTACTTAATTTGAATTTGTCTTGTCATGTCATATGTCAGTTAGCGTTGTGGTCACAGGGCTGACACCATGCTTGCATTGCAGCTAAGAGATGAGCTAGAGCTGACCAAGCAGAGGAGGCTTTGGGAGGTAGAAAGTATGAAGAAAGAAGTGTCCCAGTTGGCCAGTGAGCTGCACCAGCGTGATATCACAATTGCCACGCTCAGCGGGTCTGCCTCCAGCATCGAGCGGCAGCTGCGGGCTGAGATGGAGCAGTCTGAGCATAGGGCAGCTGAACTCAAAGTGGGTGGAGTAAACAGGAATTGAGGAAATGCCCTTATTAGATACAAGTGTCCAATGTTGATATTGTTTGTATATAGGGCTGGGTATCGGCACAGATGTCCCAATTGCATTTGATCCCGATTCACAAGCTAACAATTTGTTTAGATTCCGATTCAATATCAGTTCCATAAGAGTGAGATATGGAAAACTGTAGGAATACTTTCCATATTTGGAGAGATGTTTTTAAAAAAAAAAAAAAAAAAAAAAACTCTTAATGGATCACAAACTTACAAATGCTGAGTCACTGGAAACAAATTGTGAAAACCACAGAAGAAAAGCCCAAACACTTGTATACCTAAATCTTATTTGTTGAGGAACAAAAGGGGTATAGTTCCTTAAATACCAACCTGCCCCTTTCAAAGCCCAAAAAAGACAAATATGTATAGGTGAAACTAAAAATGGGCATGTTTAAAACTCACATGCCGTGTTTCAGAAGGACTTTAACTTAAAGATATGTGCCATAAATTAGAGTTTGTAATTCTTATACATGAAGAGAAGGTCCACATGCATGCTCTGGCAGAAGGTTTGGCACTAGCATATTCATGTGATATCTTGTTATAGTTATGTAGGTTTATCATGTTAAGTATATAACTTAGTTAACTCCTTAACTAAGTTAAGGCTTTGCACATGGTTACCACACCCGCTGACCCGCTACTGTCATTTTTAAGCCACACTGGGCAAACAGTGCAAAAACCACCACTAGATCATGTGCCAGTCACACCTCGCTGTTCAGGGACTTGGATGGATGGATCATTCTTTTCTTTTTCTTTTCTTGATCCTGAAGAAAATTTAGGAAATAGTGGGAGTGGGGAAATAAGGGTAAAAAGTTCTGATGTTTTTACTTATTTCAGTGATATTCCAAGTAATTTGGAATCAGGGAGACGACCATGGGCGTAATTTCCCGGGGGGCTAGGGGGGTCATAACCCCCCCCAATAATCAGATCCAGCCAATATAACCCCCACAATAATCATGTTTCCCCTGTGATGGGTGGAGACCTCGACCCCTTGGAGACCACATAGCACTTAGTGCATAGTGCACATAAAAATACAAACACTTAGTGTTCAGCTTGCTAGTGACCTATGTTTAACCATTGTGGCAATAATAATAATAATAATAATAATAATAATAATAATAATTGATACTTTATAACCTAGATAATTGGGAAAAAAATGCCTGTTGGGGTGAAAGAGACCGATACTGAATCGGGAAAAGTTTTAAAAACAATTGATCAGAGCTATTTTGGTACACCCTTAGCTAAGTATACCTTCCATATTTTTGTAAGGTTGGCCTGAGCTGCTCTTAGTTGCCTCTTATTGTGACTTACTATTCAGACCACACACCTCTGAAATGAGCAAAATGCTGTCAAACAGTATGCACTGTAACCATTCAACAGTTGGGGGGTGATGGGGTGCGAAGTATATTGTAACATTGCTTTGGACACACTCATTGTGAACCTAGTTTTATGTGTGTAGTTTTTGGATTCTATATTTTTAAGTGGTAGTGAACTATGCTTATGATGCTTGTGATTCAGGTGACTCAAGTCCAGCTGGAAACTTTGAAGATTGAGAACCAGCATCTCACTGATATCCTGGAGCAAGTGGAGTCTAGGTCTCCCAAGGTTTGTGTGACACCAGGTAAAGGCACCGATTTGATTTGATTTATTCCCAAGTAAAATAGTGAAGGTATGTGCTTTGGTTTGGGGTCTACATTACATTAAATAAACTTAAATTTCCCTTCATGCCAGTAGGCCATTGTCTCTCAGCAGCTCCTTGCCTCTCAATGACCTTTCGTTTATGTGCTTCCCACAGAAGGTGACTGGTTCCCTGGCCTCCTTTAGACACAGTTATGTGTCATCCTTGAACAGCCTGGAACAGGAAAACAAGAAGCTAAAGGAGGAGTTAACAGAAGTTCATGCCCGGTTGGAAGCCTCCACACAAATCTGGCAGGAAAAATATGGACGGGCACTCCTGCAGAACCAAGGAAAACTGTCCCAGCTGTGCACAGCCAGGGACAGGTAAGCACAGGCTAATGAATGCTCAAGTCATTCAGCTCATGCCTTTGCTACAGAAGTTTTATATCGTATGCAGTCAGATCTTTTCTAGCTGTAATACTTACTATACAGACGAGGACAAATTTGTTTGTATCCTTCCAAAAAACCCAAAAAACTAACTCAAATACCTTGAAACTGATAAAAGTTTAATGGCATTCCTTATTGTTTATTCCATATTTAACACAAATAAGACTTTGCTTTTGATTATTGATTCAGTTGAGTATTTCATATAATTGAACAAATGAAAATGGCACGAACAAATAAGATGGTATCCTTAATTTAATATAAAGTGGCACCAACTTTGCAGCATTCACTGCCAACAAATGATACTTCACAATAAGACATCTACGTTTGCCACTCTTCCTGAGCAAACTACTCAAGCTGTCTCAGGTTTGAAGGGTGGTGTCTCCACACTGCAAAGATCTTTCCATAGATATTCAATAAGATCTGGGCTAATGAAGGGCCATTTAATAATAGTCCAGTGTTTTTTCTCAAGCATTCTTGAGTGCTTTTGGCTGTATGTTTTGGGTCATTATCCTCTTTGAAGACCCATGACCTGTGATTGCGGCTGAGCTCTCTGACACTGGTCTTGAGACTTCATCATGCCCTGCACAGATTAAAGGTTCTCCATGCCAAATGCAGCAAAGCAACCCCAAAACAGAACCAAGCCCCCTCCATGCTTCACAATCAGGTATGGTGTTCTTTTCTTTTAAAGCTGCATTTTTCCTTATATAAACATAGCGCTGATGTGACTGGCCAAAAAGCTCCAGTTTTGTCTCATCAGTCCAAAGGACATACTCCAAGAAACTTTGGGGCTAGCCTTGCATTTTGGCAAATTCCACTCTGTTTTTATTTTTTTCTGTCAATATTGGAGCCCTCTTGGGTCTTCCATGGAGCCCATTGTTGTTCAAAATGCATATGGTGCGATCAGAAAATTAACGTACCTTGACCTTGGAGTTTAGCTTGAATGGTTTCCTTTGCTCTTTTTCCACCATCCACACTGTCCTTCTGATCAACCTGGGGTTGCATTTAGTCTTATGTCCATGTCCTTGAAGTCTGGCTACAGTCCCATGAACCCCCATCCATCCATTTTCTCCAACCCTGGACAGGCACCAACACACCACAGGGCACACACACTCACTCAACTACAGGGCCAATTCAGACTCACCAATCAACCTATTCTGCACGCTTTTGGACCGTGGCAGGAAACTGGAGCCCCCGGCGAAAACCCACATTGACAAAGGGAGAGCGTGCAAACTTCACACAGAAAGGACCCAGGATCGAACCCAGTGCTCCGCCCATCCCATGAACCTTATATTTTTTATAATATTGGCAACTATGGTCACAGGAATATGAAGCTACTTGGAAATGGTCTTATAGCCCATTAACGTGGTTATCTACACTCACCTAAAGGATTATTAGGAACACCATACTAATATGGTGTTTGACCCCCTTTCG